TATTTTTTTATAATGTGAATGAAAACCCTAACCCCCTCCCCCCAAAATCTATACCCTAAATGCCCAATAGTTAACCAAAACTCAAAAATTTAGAGTCGTTTGTATCTTTTATCAAAACGTTTTTGATTTTTCTTCTCCTTTTGAGTTTTTCTGAGAAAATTATTCTTCTTCTTTTTTTCATATATCCACCAGATCTGTGACCAAACAAAAAAATCTACCAGATCCAATCTCAAATCAGAGACAGCAAGAATAAAATTCAGATCCAATTTTACAATTTCGAGATCTGATTCGGAGAGAAGAAACAACTTATGTGATCTAAACATCAAATCTGATCTGATTTTTGAGAGAAAAAGAAAAAGGTTATGAGTGAGAGAAAATAAAAAAAGATACAAAGTTACGAGAGAATAGAGAAATGAAAAAAAGTTATGAAAGAGAAAAAAAGATAAAAAAACTGTTATTGATTTAAAGAGAATAAGAAAAATGATCGTTTATAATGAAGATAATATGGGAATATGCACAAAAAAAGATGGCACGCTTGTAAAAGTTGCAAAAAGATGGCATTTTTGTAAAGTGGCATGGGACATGTGACATTTTTTTAAATTTCTTATATATCTTTGTTACTTTAATTTATGAAATTTTGTGAAATTTTAATTTTTATACTTCACAATTATTTATACTTTGGTCATGAATACAAATGTTAAATCAAACTATTTTTTGTTAATTATAAATTTAAATTTCATATATAGTTAGTAAGTAGACTTCCATTGAAGTCTACAAAATATCTAAAGTTGACTTCAATTGAAATCTACTAATGGAGTAGACTTCTTTCTTACAGAGTAGACTTCTCGGAAGGTTAAAATGGTAATTATGGCATCCGTTTTTTTTTCTTTGGTCATAAGGAGTGTAATTGTAATTTCATTACTCCTTTGGATTACTTTTGTCAAACATGAGATAAGTGGTCTACTTTTGCATTTAAAATAAAATTGTAGGTCATTTTTAGCTATTTCTCCATTGATTTTATATGATTTAAGATCCGTATTTAAATAATATTTCTAAATATTTTTTTATTCAACAGATTAAAAATTAAAATTTAAATATTTATGTTAGTAATTTTTAATATGTTTATCCGCTTATTACCGCGGGTACTAATCTAATGTATGTATAAACACACACAATCGTAGGGATAAATTTGAATAGAGAACTATACTCCTAAACGATAATTGATGTCAAGAGTATAGTAAAATGATTTTAGTTGGGAACGGGTGATATTTTCAGCTTTAAGTTATTCGAATCAATGATAATTATTGTCTCTTTCTTTTATTTGGTCAACTATTATCTCTTTGGAGTACTTGACAAAAGAAAAATTCAAACGGAAAGTGATAAGTATATATAAATTGCATGGTTGAAAAAAGAAAATGCATGAATCTTTGCGGGCCATTCCCTAACAGTCTAAAATAACTCAGCCATGATCTAATCGATGGAACACATTAATGATACAAAGACATTTGCCAAAGATTGGATCTGCCTATATTAAATTAACTTTGATCTAACCAGTAACGACTACTGCTACTTCCCCATATCACTATTTACTGCTCGAATAATTTATTGTGTCCCTTGACCTAACTGTTGTTTCTTCTTGTTATCATTTTCATTTTTTTTTATGGATTTCGTGGACAATAAAAATAATTTGGAATACAATTAGTATAAGAATCATTTAATGAAAATTGTTGAATGACTAAACTAAAAAGTGAATGAAATGTTTATTTCTAAACATAAGTATAGTATCTAACAATTTTTTTAGGATCGGTAACAGTCTTAATAAACTTACAGCTATTTTATAGTTTATAACGTTTTAAATTGTACCAATGACAAAAGCGATACCAAAAACTTTACCAAAAGCGTTACACTCAGCTTTATTTGTATAACGCTCTTCCGTACAACTATTTTGTACAGTTTTACACTATGTTGAATGGTGAAAAAACAAGAGTTTTTTTTCGAATTTTGCAAATGGTAGAAAAAAAGTCAGTAGCTTCACGTGAAAAATATATTATTGTTTAGTGTTTGTGAAAATGATTATCAATCAGAGTTATAATATTATCCCATTACGATATTTCATCACCATGCCATACTTCTAAAAATAAAAGAAATTTTACAAATAATTGTCTCTCAAAAATAAATAAATAAGTTGTTTATTTATATATATACACCCACATATTGAGCAATAGTCCATGTGTTTTCTTCTTTTTTTTGGTGAAACAGTCCATGTGTTTTCCTTTCCCATAATTCCTTTAAAAAGGTTCATCCTTATTAGGTGAATCTCTTTGGAGACGTTCTATCAATAGCATCCATTTGGCTAATTTTAATATACCTCTTTAGTTTTTTTTTTTTCTTTGTTCACTATTAGGGTTCATCGATTCTCTCTGTTTGTTTTGCTAAAATCTTTAGAAATCAACGACGTCAAAGAAGAAAGACTTGTAGTCACTCTTCTTATCATTCGGTATGTGTTTTCACATTAGTTCTTGATATATAACCTATATATATTCATATGATTATTGACAAGATATGTGTATATAATAATGTTTTCATTGGGTTGTTTTGTGTGCAAAGACAAAAGAAGAAGAAATGAGAAAACACGTTGTTTTGGCGAAGCCTTTCTCGTTGGAAGATGAGAAAGACTCTGAACACACAACTTCCATTCTCATCCAACGGATTCTAAGCCTCTTCAAAAACATACGCCCAGGATCTGATCTCACTAACTTTCAGGTACGTAACGTAACTCTTCTTTTTTTTTTATATGATTGTCACTTTCAGTTTCAGGTGATATAAAAGTTTGTATATTCAGAATCTTTTGTTGAAGGTGTACTATATATATATAGTATTTACTCTTTTTGGTTAAAATTTTTTCTACCATTCTATCTATTAGCCAAAAAAAGATTCAAATTTGTTCTCAGATTTTGCATGTTAAGGATTTGCTCTTAATATCAGACATAAAAAGAAAATGATTTGTTATTTTCGAGTTGCTTATTTTTCCATTACTATTTTTAATGAAATTTGAGTTTTTCTTTTTTCTTTTCCGTTTACAGTATATCTCCAAGATAATAAGATAATTTGTTTTCCGTTTTAATCTAACAACATAAAGTATACATTTTAGACATTTTTACTTTTTGGTCAACACATTTTAGACATGTTTTTTATTTTATTTTAAGACATGTTTTATGATCTACCGAATTATAAATTCACCCACTTACAAAATGTAGAGTAAGAAGAACATGCCATTATAACTGAAAAATCACCAATAAGAACATGAAATTAAATAGCGAAAAGTGTAACATCCATAAACTAGTTGAAAAATTCCTTTTACTTTGTTATCGTGTTCCTAAAGAAAAAAACAAACACAATTACCACTATTTTCTTGATTCGTGTAAACAACAAAAAACTATATTTTCACCTAAGAATTTTGATCTATTTGGTTAAACTCATTATATAAAAAATCTTTGGTGAACAACTTTTTTTTTAATTGCTTAAATAATATTTTCATTTACTGTGAATAGCTACCACCTCAACTGAACCTAGCAAGATCGCAACTCCAATGCTATGGCGAGATGATGTATAGTTTCAACGGTCCAGATTTACTTGGAGAATGCGGTCGTGGCGACCAACCAATCGAACGGCTCAAATCAATGGTGACGTGGTACATCTCAACTCTCCGACCATTAGTCTTTGGCATGGCCCCGTACAATCCCATCATCGGCGAAACTCACCACGTCTCCAACGGCCACGTCAATGTTCTCGCTGAGCAAGCAAGTCTTTTAATTTTACTATAATATATACCATTAAAACTCATTACG